GGAAAGTTCTCGACTGGGTCAGCCACTGGACCCGTGACGGTTCGATTTCGATTCATTGCGGGTTGCCTATCGTCCGCTGTCGTGCAGGTGGTATCTACTTACCACCCCGGTAATTGATTCGTCTGTGATCAGCCTCTCGGCCGGTCTGGTGTCAGATAAAAGCAGGCTCCGTGTTAGCCGAGGGGGGGGAGAATCTCTTCCAATTGACCGACCCTCGTACCCTTTTCACTTTTCGAATTTTCTTTTACGTAAAACGCGAGTGTGCAATTTTGCGAATTGGAATCGGACGTTACGGGAGTCTGGTGAACCGAGATGGGCATTATTTTCTGTGAAAATAAACGGACGAAAGAGGAAATTTAAGTACTTTTTTTTTTAATTTCTAGTGCATTTAACGTCGGCATTAGTAACTAAGACCAGGCCGCTGAATCTCCCGATGATACGATGACCAGTAACTATTAGACGAACATAATTGTATAAACATGACATGAAAATAAGTTTGCTTAAAATGCCTCGTCATGTGTATTAATTTTATGAAAACATGAGTACGCAATCATAATTTCTCCTTTTTAAAGAAAGAAGTACAGAATGTCCTACGATTAAAAACTTAAACAAACTATAAACACATTTATAGCTGGTAACTTGTTCACTGTATCCCTGTAGAAGGCTTGGATATGTCTTAAATTAACCACGACCACTTCCTGTTTAATTCATTATTTATCCTTATTTGGAAATACGTCGGTAAAGTCCAAAATATTGGCGATTAAAAACCAGAATATATGAGATTTGCGGTTCTCACTGCAGTGAAATATCGACTATCTTCTTCTGGGTTCTGACGCCTCGTAAACTTATTGGTAGATAACCAACGTTTCGCAGAAACAGCCTCCATCTTCAAGGCTGAATTATTTTACGATATGCTGATTGTCAGTTCCGTATTGGCTATTAAATTTATTTTTGTGTACGCCCACTTCGTCTCTGAGTGTGATATGTCCACAGTTCGTGCGTGCGTGATTCCAGTCAACAACAGAAAGTAATCACGTGTTAGAATCTTATCTAGGGCACTATTGAATATTAATTATTAACATTCTTATGTTATCTATATCATTCTGCGTTTTGTTATTGTTTCAACAGGCACATATTAATACAAACCTCTTGCTTTTAGGTAGACATTGTATTCTTCTAAAACGTTGGTTTTTACCTGAAAGTCCACATTTCGTCACAAACCGGAAAATAACAGCTAAAAGGCTTTACTGGATTAGTCTACAGAATTTATTTTGACTCTCAGGGGAGAAAAATGAAAGTTAAAATGTAATTGAAGACGTAGGTAAACAAAGATACTAGCAAAAGTTGATAAATTCTTTGAAAATAATGTATACGTATAGCCACTTTCCACAGCTGATATTCCTTTACCTATAAAAGGGACGACGAGATGGGGCACCCTAAAGGACGATTAAAAATATCAGTCACGACTTTATTCTACACATGACACGGAACATATAAAGGCTGTCGTCATAAATTGTTATCTTATAACGTCTTGTCGTTGACCTGTTCTTGCATTAAGCATTATTAATCTGGCTAAAACGCGTTGTACCCAGGTCTGTGCATCCTGGGTTGATTTACAGAGTCCAGTGTTACGTCACATGGCGATGACGTTGATTGGGCCGAATTGGAAGTGACGTGGATGACAGCTGTATGCATGTTCGGCCTCTGAAAGCCTCTGGTGGCGGCACAACCCTATGGTCACCCAAGCTGTTTCTATTGGACCATGTAACAGGAATAATAGACCTGCTAACTGCTATCTGTATAGGATGAAGTTGGCTTCATTCGAACCTCAAGCACACGATATAAAGCCCCGGTTAGTTCATAGCTAAGGGGGTTTATTAGCCAAAACTGTATTATTCTCAGGCATTCAATAGTTCCAGGGCTGCCAAGTCAGTAAGTCAGCTGGAATTTCATTTCGGGAAGAAATCTGGGATTGCAATAGCGTTAATAGAAAATATTCTAGCACTGTGAAGGCAGATTTCCTTAAAATGTTTCACTTTTTAGCTAGCACGAAGCGTTAAACTCTTTGATCACAATTTTTTATTTTGGAACAGATTTTGACTACATTAAAATTTCACATCGCCGCCATATTTGTCGCTTTTTACATACAAGGGAAACAAGAGTTGCTTGCTAATTTTGCAAATGCATATACGATCCATCTCCAACTACTAGAAGCCGTCAAAACTGGGAAAGATACAGTTCGACACTGTGATGTTCATCTTCTGGGTCGTAACGCCGTTAGGGCTTATTGCTGAAGATGGAAACAGCATGTTTTTTTTTCTCCGAAATGTTGCTATTTACCTACGAGTCCACACGGCCGTGCAATCCAGAATACCAAAACCGACATTTTTACCGCCTTGAGAACCTTAAACCTCACCTAACTAAATCCAGGTGTTATTCTGACTAACATTTCCGCGATTTTCTTAAGTTCTTCCAGGGACAGAACGCTTAAATACGTACTGACAATCCCCTGCTATGTCCTGGCTACTCGCGATTCACGATAATTTTTTATCTCGTCCACATGAAAGAAATTAACAGACACTTCCACGTATATAAGAACAATAACCGTCAAGAAATAATCCTTCCAAAATGGGGGGGGGGGGGGGGGGGAGCGTCATGAAAATTGTTAACCAGACGTAATACGTACGGTTTTATGATCAATAATGCAAACCATGAGGCCCGGAATCCCTTTACAGCGTTACCATAGCAACGGTGATAACTATTAAGCACACGCCTGACGGACATGGCTATTATATTAGAAATGTATTTATTTATTTATTTATTTGTAGTTTATGTAGGAATCTGTCAGTGTCTGAAATATATAGCACAGAAACATTCGCTTTTTAAAAAAAAAATCCCCATGGACTTACTTTAGTCCTACGTTAGCTTCCGTTTTATATTTGGTCCATGAGGAATTTTTAATTATCCTCTCATGCTCATTTCGCTTGCTTCAGATCGTAAAGTTATTTCTCCGTTTATGCGATATATGCATCACTGGTAAAAAAAAACATAAATGAAGAGATAATTTTCCATGACAGGATTTAACTGCTAGATGATAAACAGTTATAGACATTTATTCGTGCAAAATGTTTCCAATGTCATGTTACCATCAACGCCACTTAGCAGCCGTTGTCCAATTGTGGCCCATTATAACGGAAATGGACTTTTCACTCACTCAGAGGGAGGAACACAGATTGCAGGTGTTTGAGGAGGATATTTGGGCCTAGGAGAGAAGACGATGGGGCATGGAGAAAACTGCATAATGACGAGCTTAAAAATCTGTACTGCTCCCCCAGTATTGTGAGGGTGATTAAGTCGAGAAGAGTGAGATGGGCGGGACATGTAGCGCGCATGGATGGGACAAGAGGTGTGCACCGGGTACTGGTTGGGAAACCTGAAGGGAAGAGACCGCTGGGGAGACCTAGACGTAGATGGGAGGATAATCTCAGGCGGGATCTATCCGAGATAGGAGTTGAAGGAAACTGGATTTTGTTGGCCCAGGACAGAGTCTGGTGGAGGGCTTTGGTTAGTTCGGTGATGAACCTTCGGGTTCCGTAAGCCATCTGGTTGGTTGGGTCCACTATTTGGGAAGCCTGAG